ATACTCCACGAATTGTTCCAGCGTGCTGTTTGGCGAGTAATAGCAGCTGAGCACCAGGGCTCGTTTGGCCACCTCCATTGATGTGATTCCTCTCACCGCTGCTCTATCCGTGACAGGGAGAGGTGTGCTTGCTCCTGTCACCCAGAGCGCCGTATCTCCTTCGTCATCCGCAGTCAGCCTTCGTCCCTTTTCTTTTTAGCTTCAGAAATCTTCCTATTAACTTCGCTCAATATACACAAGTCTATTTGTTCTCGCCGAACTCTTTCTTCTAGGGTTGCATGGGCGGCTCTGGCTCGGTGGAGATTCATCTTACGACGCTTAACGACTTTAAGCGTCATTATTCTGTCTGGATGGTTTATTCTTCTTCGTCTGGACTGTGACCCAGGCTCCTGAGTAGATGTCTTTCGTCGCCGGGCTTTCCGCTAGTTGTGGGACCGGTCCGGTCGGTTCCGTTTTGAAATTTCCGGCCTGGTCGAGGTTCGTCGGTGCTCGGTGGGCCTTCTTCATACTTTCAAGCGTCTCCCTGAACACTGGGCACGCGGAAGAGTACGCTGTGTGTGCCGAGGCCTTGCACTTATGGCAGTGTTGCTCCATCGCCTGGCACTCTCTGCCGATATGACCTTCCGTGCCGCATTTGTAGCATCTTCGAGGCTTCGCGTCTCTTCTGCATCCCGCTGCGAGGTGACCGACTTCTTGACATCTGTAGCCCTCCGGTACGGACTTCCATTCTCTAAGCGTGCAGGTCTGCCATCCGATTCGCACCTTACGGATTTTGGAAAGTGTCTCAGCGTCCTTCTTTCGAAGTCTGAGGAGAGTGCTTCGGTCCCCTGCTTCACTGCATCGGATGCTCTCTACCTTGATGTCATCTTCGTCGTGTCGGTTCAGCGTCCTTCGAATGACGTTTTCGACCTCTTTTTCGGTGATAGTCGGGTCGAGATTGTAGACTCCGACGGTCGCCGATAAGGGAGGTTTCCTTACTGAAGTTCCGAGCTGCATTTCGGTAGAGATGTA